TAAAAATTGAAATATTGATTTGTTTCTAAAACTGTTATGAATGATAGTAAAATAGGGCACCGTTGTCATGTTAAAGAAGCCGTGCTCAATGGTGTGAGAGAGAATTTGCAAAAATGATATTTACCATTGGTTACAAAACTACCATTTTAGTTTACCCTTTGCATTCGTTCGACTTCACTTCTTTAAAAGAAAGCTGCCTCGTCTTGGAAGTTTATACTAGACTCTGCACGCAGGGTAGTTTTAAGCATGATATAATTATGAATACCTAAGTAACTATGAAATATGAGAAATCCTATACTTCGAAATTAAAAAATAAAGCCATAACGTCATTTCAGTTGACAGGACAGTGAGGACACGGGAGAATGTGTCAGGAGACTGTCATTTTGGTCTAAATTTAGATTCTCTACGTAATGAACGTCATTTGGAATTATAAATAGAAGGATAGGTTGTAAACAACAATTATGACTAAATAAAGAATTATGGCCAGTGAGCACGATTTCTGGTTACAGTTTAGACGAGCAATTAGCATTTAGTAATTCACTTGGGAAAATAAATGTTTATAAAGCATGCTAAAGACGTATATCAAATTAAAGGCTACATCATTGTTTCATCAGTGTTTATAGACAGAAGTCAATAAACTTATATTTATTTGGCATTTATAAAATATGTCGGGACGATAGATACATAGTACTGCTCTTGCTAGGATGAATAACCATTCCTAACTTCATCCTGGCCTGGGTACCGGATGGGGTCACTGGTCAACGTTTTGCACAGGGGGTGTCGCTGAGATTCAAAATATCTACCAACATCTAAGGAATTTTTATCTAAAAATGGACCCACGTCCCACATCTAGGGTTTTTATTTCAAAAATAGACCCACAACGAGGTAATTTTTTTTCCAAAATGGGACCCAAATATATGGGAGTACCCCCCCCCCCCCTCTTGGCCTGGATGCAGCGTTACCTTTCTATTGAGTCAGCGTTAATTTGCATTGTTCAGGTGTGTTGTCATGAGTTCATATTACCATTTGGTAAGACAAGAAGCTTGCCCATAATTCATAATTGGCGTTATAATTACCTAGATTCCGCATACAACATTCGTTACGTTAGTTACGTACAAATTATACTTGTTTCTATTAATACTTCACACTCAGGTATGGATTCCTTGCATCTTTCTTCATCTTGATATACCGTATAGAATAATAAGTAGTAATATTGCTTACACTCCCCTCCATAAGTTTGGCAACCCATAGGCTTACCTGTTAAAGCCTCTCTAAGTTTGAATTTATATTTTCATAACCTGCAAAGAAAAAAACTATTGATAAAGGCGGAGATGCAATTGGACTATTTCCTATACCTTTAAACTTTAAAATAACACAGGAGGTGAAAATGATTCTTAAGATTGACTTTGAGGCTCTGTAACTTTAATGTTCACAAAGTAAACTAAACTTATCATGCAAAAAGTTACACAATTTGATTTGTATCGAAATAACTTTTGGTCATGTTTTTTAATCTGATTTGACCCGAACTCACCATTTCCCATTGGTTTAGATTGGAATGTCATCAATTTTCGACATATTGTTATTGAAGAAAATTATTGAAATAATTTGAGGTATTGAAAATAAAGTCAATTTGCATCTCCACGTACCTTCATTATCAGATTTTTCTTTGCATGTTACAAAAGTACAAATACACACATAGAGGAGTTTTAACACGTAACGAAGGTTGTCAAACTTATGGAGGGGAATGTATGTCGATGTTCTACAAAACGATTATCGGCATTCATATGAATCTTTATAAAGCTTTCTTATGTTTTGTTATATAGGTTATTTCAAGATTTTACAATCCCCCTACTTTACTAATAATAAAGATTCACTTTTCGCTAAAAGCTTTTGCAAACATCTGCATATTAAGGACATAACACTGAAATATCATACAAATTAGAACCTATTAACTTTATCGCCCACTGAGATATTTTGCTCTTTCTTGGAAAAATATTTTCTTGGGAAGAAAACTAGTGAAACATGTCAAGTTCCAACCGTGTAAAAGAGGGGTTGGTCCAAGGATTCTAGTGGTGATGAATCTGTATGAATATTTCCAATATTGACCTTTTCTTGTGAGTAACCGGGTATTTAGAATTTCAATAGATGACGAGCTCTAGAGTCCTAACTTAAAGACTTGAAAGATTTCGCAAGAGGACCTGCGAAGGCATGGGCTTCATATTTTTCCATACTCGGAGCTGAAATGTGACACAAATGTATGAATTTATTTCCAAATTACAACACAAAATTACTGTGGTGGAGCTCTTCAAAAACGGATCCGTTTCGGTAACAAAATAGCGCAATCTCGAAGGTGCGAAATTTCTTTTTCCATGAATATTTACTAGATAAGGGCAGAATCCTCACGAGCTTTATTGCACAATACGTGCGTTAGCTTATGTTCATATGTAGTATTCTAAGCGTTTGCGAACGAATAATTCACAAGACAATAGAATTAGGCCTAGAATCATAAGGCCTCACTTTTGATGCGTAAACGGATGTTGAAAAACGTTTAAGCATCTACTCTTTTTAACTTATCCGTCTACGTCACAAAGTGGGAAACTATATTGAGGATTCTGGCGTCTTGCAAGTGAACTATTTGTTCGCAAAACCTTTGATTTTCTGAAATACATGATGCTGACAAACGTTTCTGCCAAAAAGGTCGTGAAGTCAAGATAACCGGTCGAAGAAGTGTACCATATAAAAGAACTTCATTTAGATTGATCTCTAGATATGCGTCACCCACATCACAAAGGGATAGAAGTAGACACTGAAACGCTTACTCCAGAACAATACCATTGGATCGGGCCAACAATGCAAACGAAGCTCAGTTGAATTACTTGTTAACTTGTACTAAATAAGACTTTTTTCTCGGTAACTCATTTCGTAAATATCAATCTAGGAAAGTAAACGTTGGTTTGTTTCCATGTTTTCAAATAATTCAAATTGATAGGCTACGACTGGGAACTAATAAAGTTGACAAACATAACAAGCCTGGATACTGACAAATGGGAATGTTGTTTTTCAGTCGGGACTCGTCATGTATAATCATGAATCCTTTCCATCACCACTTAATGGATACATTCATCTTAAGTAAGACGATATGTGGAAATAATAATGAATCTTAAGAATCTTGTTTTCAAAAACTAATGAGATTTTGCACTGCAATGACGGAACTCGTCAGTCCGAGTCCGAGTGATAACTCAAATACCAGTGAACAGATTTTTATAAATCTACCAGATTTTTATAAATCTACCTACAAGCCCTTGTGACACAAGCTGTTAGAGACTAGGATTTTATTCATATTTGTTAAATATAATATTAGCTATAATAGTACAAGGTACAGGGTTGGGCAAAAACGTCCATATTTTTTATTTTGCTATAACTTTTTTTATGATGCATGGATTTCAATAATATTTGCACAGGGGAATGAGCGATCAATTATGCGATTTGAATGAATAAAATTAACAATCAATAATAGGGGTGTGAATGGAAACTCTCGGTTTTGAAGTAATGTTTGACATTGCAAGTTTACAGTGATTTTATGGCCCATATATTAGTCCTATTCCTTATATTGGTCTCAATGCCCTCCAATTGTTTCAATTTTTATCAGAAATAAAGTAATAAAAGTGTAAGCATCATACAATCATGTGTCTCTCTGATAGACTGGGAATTGTCTTGCACTTGAAAATATCATTGAAATCAATGAAGTTGTTGCAAAATAAAAATATGGATGTTTTTCGACCCACCCTGTGTCGCACTCTATGAAGTTGGAACAAGTTTAAAATGACCGTCCGACATTTATCGGAGAGAAAACATATTTTGTGGTGTTTATGCCTGGGTCACATTTACTCCGATCCAGCCGATTGAGTGTTTTGTTCAATATTATATTCAATTTTGAACAAAATACTCAATCGGCCGAGCGCCGTAGTGAAAATCGGAGCAAATGTGACTAGGGCATTCCTGAAACCAGAAATAACTAAATTAGTCAGACTAATTATCGGTTTAAACGAATCATCTTTGTTCATGGACATTGGCCAACAATTTATTTTAACTGGCTACCCTATATTTCATCAAAAAGAACGGATGTTATTTGAAATTGAGGTAATTAATGTAAATATGGTGGAAAGAAAGGAGCGATTTATTTCAATTCGGATTATAACCTGTGTCCATTAATGGCTGCATACATATCAATCACAATTGTTTGCTAATTATCGGAAGAAAAATATGCCAAGTTTAATGATGCTTATTGTGACGATCTGTCAAAGCTTAGAAATAAACAGTTTCTTTACGCTTATTTATGGTGACACAAATAACTAAAATACGTCTTTTATGCTCGAAAGTGAATTAACTAAATATAATTACAGAAAGCGGATAGCTTCATTTCTGCTCGTAAATCACTATTATTCCCTGATTTTACGTGATTTTTAACCGACCTGATTTATTTTCATGAGTCTGTTTATAAAGGATGGCAGTAAAACCTATAATACCGTATTGTCCTTAAACAAACACATCATCTGCATGGATCGGTTTCGGCTTTTTACGAAGCATTAAGTATTCTACAAGTCGTTTATTGATCGAGATTTCTGTTGCTTGAGTTAACATTTAAAAATGAGTGATTTATTCATGGGTGTAATTAACAGAATCACAATATGTGGTAAAAGTAATGCTTGGAAATGTGATAATATAAATGTTATAATGCAATTGTATACATTATAGTAAATATATATAGTACTCCTTCCTGCGGAAATGGAAGGGTTGTATGGGATATTGGCGGACCTCATCTCGGACTCGTCTATTTAACAATATTTAGATAGGCATTTATCTGATGATATATTTGTCAGTGGCGCTTTAATAGTAATACATGTGAAGTTAAGTCATGAAAGTGGAACAAATACAAAAACCTTTTGGTGGATAATAATGTGCCACGATCACAGTCTTAATTTCTAATTTTGTAATTGCAGGAGGACCGTGAGCCACAATAGTTGGGACTGACGCGACATATATACGATGAGTACAGGTGGAATTCATGAGGTCCTTGGCTACTGACAGAATAACCACTACGTGCACTACAACTTTCATTTGCGCAGGTGTTGGTACTCCGTAGTCCTTTGTTATCGACAGCGGAACATTTGAAACAGGGAACTGAAGGATATCTTTCTTAAAGAACCTAGGCAAAAGGAACTTGAAGTTGGAGACACGGTAGTTGAGGACAGTTTTAAGTGCGATTGTTTATTGAATAAAATCGTAGATAAAACAGGGTTGCGTTTGCGTAACTCATTCAGGAAGTAGTTAACCCAGTGTTACTGCTTTTATTTGAATTTAATGAAGTCAGTTTTATCCAGAGTGAAGCGAGACTGCATTACAGAGCTATGATTACAGTTAATACCTTTAGATTACTGACGCCTAATGAACTTCTTACAACGGAAGGCAGTTCCAGCTTTTCAATTACCTGGAAACGATTGTAGAATGATGGATATCTAGAAGGATGGCAAACGGAAACCAATTTTCGAGGAAGGCTCCTACAGGATGCCACTAGATGATCCTGTTAAGATGTCTTACGTCGACCAGATCCTCGATTATATGAATGACGCGAATGAGAACAATAACGAAACAATTGATTTCAGCCAGCCATGCGTGCGCAAGTCCATTCGCTACGTTTATCCACTCTTCGTATTTCTTCACGTGCTCATTGCGATCGTATCAGTGATCGGAAACACATGGTTGTTGATCATTGTGATAAGAAGGGGGTTTTATTCCGACCCAACCTTCTTTTTCTTGGGAAATTTGGCGCTCTCTGATCTGATCAAAGTGTTATTCGTTCTCCCAGTCACTGTTGCAAATTTACTTCTTCGGAACTGGCTTTTTGGAAGTTTTCTATGCTTCTTTCTTCCGATGATGCAGTACTTTCCAGTCCACGCTACCATGATTACCCACATAATGATCGCCATTGATCGCTATCGTCTCATAGTGTATCCAGTAAAGTCTCGTCTACCCGCGGGACTGTGCGTGATTGCCATTTGGTTGATATCAATCTGCGCAGTTTTGCCATACGCTGTCTATATGAAATATTTGGATCTGGAATCAGTTATCGGTCCTGCATTCAAGGGAGTGGGGATATGCTGGGTCAATATAGAGCGCCATATTGAAAAATATATGAGGGCAATGTTTGTGGCGATGTATGCACTTCCCCTTGCCATCATTGCTTTCTTGTATGTGAAAGTATCCGCCGAGTTCAAGTCTGGAAATGATACATCAGTTGACCATATTCATTGCTCACGCCTTCAGGACAGTGGGGAGGCCATGCCGGAATCACGGTTGACTTGGTCTACAAGTGATAGCGACCATAGATTGGAACAAGACGCGCCGAGTGATGGTTCCCAACAGCCTGTCATTAAAGATAGAGATAAAACTAACATCACGATTACTCATGAATCGGATGATGAACTGAACATTGTGAAAGAGAAAAGAACACAGAAATACATGATCACGATGGTCGGGCTGTTCGCTGTGTGTTGGTGTCCATTAGAAATCCTTTCGATTGTCACACATTTTATTTATGAGGACTTTGAGAATGAAGGTGGGTTCATAGTTACGTACTTGACATTCACGTGGTTTGGATTCCTATCAACATCGATTAATCCAATTTTGTTTGCATCGTGGCGGATGTCGTCTGCGACAAAAGATCGTCTGCGAGGATATTTCCGGTTGAGCAACAGACGTCGAAGTTCTTCACATGACTCTTATTGTCGAAATGGAAATACATACCGACCGAATGATACAACTGAAACGTCAGTTACTAATTAAGCTTGACCATTCCTCATCAGACTGCATCTGAACAAAGATTTTTTCAAGTCCGTGGTTGATATATACAAAAAGTGAATGTTGGCACTGTCTACTTAATCTATGTACAGTGAACCCACAAAACAACTGCGAACTATTTTAATTTCTGGATTCCTTTTTGAATGATAGATTTACTTTGATATATTGAAGATGTCATTGACCAGGTTGAAAGAAGAAAGCAATGTTATGTCGATTCCTTCTGAGGAATTCGTCCGTAGGATGGTTGATTCTGTCTGAGACAATTGAACACGCATGTAAATAATATGTGTACAATATATCATCATGAAGTTTGTGAAAAAATAGATTTTAAAAAGGTTGTGAGCGATAATGCTGACATTTCTGTATTTGATCAATTACAGCCACATATATTATTAGCTGAAAGGCATTTTAGTGCACAGCTCAAAGTCAACAAAAACGTTACCGAAGAACATTGGCATTGTCACAGAAAATGGAATGCCAACTGGTTTATTGTAGTCATTTGTACGTGGAGATTCGATTTTGTTTTAATTTTTTGCGGATGTACTATTCTTATCGCACCATTTTCTTCAAATCTATACACATAGGAGGGTACCAAATTTTACAGCTTTTGGACTGCAGTCATTTTAGGAGTTTTCATAAATCTTGTCGTCGCGATTCCAAAAAACCCTTTATGAGTTTCCTCACTGGATTCATACATACTTTAGAGGATACCAAGTTCTACTGTTGCTTAACTTGTAGGCAGTCAGTTTGTTTCGTGTTAGCCATTTTGATAGTTTTTGATGTGCCATTGCACAAAAACCGCTCATCGGATTTTCATTCATCAATTCATACACATGTTAGAGGGCCGAGGTTTACAGTTGATTCACTTTTAGCTTTGCAATCTAGTTTTCTGGAAGCAATTTTGATTTTGAATTTTTCGATTAATCTTTCCACATGATTGCAGTATTGCAGGAAGATTCTTCAAATTCTTTAGGTTAAACATGCTAGAGGACATCAAGTTCCACAGATGATAATTTTTGGTGGCCAACTGTCTTGTGAAGTTTTTCCACATGTGAACATACCATATTCAGCCGTAGAATATTGCATATTCAGTTCACTAATCAATGAGAACACGTTACGGAAGTACTGAAAAACTAAAACTAAATGGCCAACCGCAGTGTCGGGTATTCACTGAAATCAATGTAGCGCAGTCTCACCGTGCGACCATAAATATAAATGGCAAATTCCACGTAACAAATGGTGCTAAGGTCTACATTAGTCCTGTGATTTCGTTTGTGTCGTGTACATTGTTAATTAAAATTTACAATATGTGTGTAATAACCTGAAAATGACATGTTACTCAAGTTGTTTCGTACGTCGTCTATTGTTTCTAATGGGTTTGTACTTAGTTACATAGTGCTTTCTGACAGAGAACCAATTTCCCGTCAATCGTTGTCATGTTCTGTACTTCTATGGTAAACTCACAGAATATAGCATTTCACCTGAACTATAGTCTTGTTCTCGTTTATCTAACGCTGGTTTTCGATTTTAGTAGGAGTTCTCGAGTTAGTTGGCTTTTTATCTTTTGAAAAACACAATGCAATGTCATAAACAGTTTCCCTGGGTACAGCGAGCCCACAACATATTTCCAATGTTTGTACTTCTAGTCACAATACAATATTATTGGAGATTGTTGACCTTGCCCTAACAACACCAATAGTGTCGTCTATAGAAAATGGTCTATTAGGCACTATTGCTTTTGAGACACTGGGCCTTTATTCTTTAAGTATCAAGGGTTTGAAATTGAAGTAATAATAGGATTTTCAATATGCTGCAACCATGATGCAAATACATAACAGTTTCCATCATACATTCTTGCTTATATTATTGGATTTTAGTTATCACAAAAGCAGGAAGCTATCATTGTACCTACTATCTGTAATCATTTATAAGCCCATGAAACAATCGACAGATAAGCTACCTATCTGGTTCTATAGTCTGCAAGACGCCAAGAGACAAGCTATCTAAAAACATAAGATAGGATAAAACGACTCTTTTTACCTCGAAAGGACATGACCTACGCAACATATAAATAGTTTACAAGATCACAGTGAAGATAGATGTGAACATTCAAAAATCGGAAAACTCTTTCAAAATCGTCAATAAATAAAGCAATGAGAATATGATAGAATGGGACAAGCTTCAAAATAAAAGACCCATGGTATCAATCATCTATATAAGATTAATCGTATCAATCATGCATTATCTAAGACACCAATTATATCAATCATCAGCTAAATGACCAATGGTATCAATCATCAGCTAAATGAAATGACCAAGGTACCAATCATTAATGGTATCAATCATCAGCTAAATAAAATGACCAAGGTGCCAATCATTATCTAATAAACCAATGGTATCAATCATCAGCTAAATGAAATGACCAATGGTATCAATGGTATCAATCATCAGCTAACTGAAATGACATCAATCGTCAGCTTAATGACCAATGGTATCAATCATCAGCTATATGACAAATGGCATCAATCGTCAGCTCAATGACCAATGCTATCAAGCATCAGCTAAATGACCAATGGTATCAATCATCAGCTAAATGATCAATGCTATCAAGCATCAGCTTAATAACCAATGGTATCAATCATCAACTAAACGACCAATGGTATCAATCGTCAGCTTAATGACCAATGGTATCAATCATCAACTAAACGACCAATGGCATCAATCGTCAGCTTAATGACCAATGCTATCAAGCATCAGCTAAATGACCAATGGTATCAATCATCAGCTAAATGACCAATGCTATCAAGCATCAGCTAAATGACCAATGGTATCAATCATCAGCTAAATGACCAATGGCATCAATCGTCAGCTTAATGACCAATGCTATCAAGCATCAGCTAAATGACCAATGGTATCAATCATCAGCTAAATGACCAATGCTATCAAGCATCAGCTAAATGACCAATGGTATCAATCATCAGCTAAATGACCAATGGCATCAATCGTCAGCTTAATGACCAATGCTATCAAGCATCAGCTAAATGACCAATGGTATCAATCATCAGCTAAATGATCAATGCTATCAAGCATCAGCTTAATAACCAATGGTATCAATCATCAACTAAACGACCAATGGTATCAATCGTCAGCTTAATGACCAATGGTATCAATCATCAGCTAAATGACCAATGGCATCAATCGTCAGCTTAATGACCAATGCTATCAAGCATCAGCTAAATGACCAATGGCATCAATCGCCAGCTTAATGACCAATGCTATCAAGCATCAGCTAAATGACCAATGGTATCAATCATCAGCTAAATGACCAATGCTATCAAGCATCAGCTTAATAACCAATGGTATCAATCATCAACTAAACGACCAATGGTATCAATCGTCAGCTTAATGACCAATGGTATCAATCATCAGCTAAATGATAAATGGCATCAATCGTCAGCTCAATGACCAATGGTATCAATCATCAGCTAAATGACCATTGGTATCAATCATCAACTAAACGACCAATGGTATCAATCGTCAGCTTAATGACCAATGGTATCAATCATCAGCTAAATGACCAATGGCATCAATCGTCAGCTTAATGACCAATGCTATCAAGCATCAGCTAAATGACCAATGGTATCAATCGTCAGCTAAATGAAATGACCAATGGTATCAATAGTCAGCTTAATGACCAATGCTATCAAGCATCAGCTTAATGACCAATGGTATCAATCATCAGCTAAATGACCAATGGCATCAATCGTCAGCTTAATGACCAATGCTATCAAGCATCAGCTTAATGACCAATGGTATCAATCGTCAGCGAAATGAAATGACCAATGGTATCAAGCATCAGCTCAATGACCAATGGTATCAATCATCAGCTAAATGAAATGACATCAATCGTCAGCTTAATGACCAATGGTATCAATCATCAGCTAAATGACAAATGGCATCAATCGTCAGCTCAATGACCAATGCTATCAAGCATCAGCTAAATGACAAATGGCATCAATCGTCAGCTCAATGACCAATGGTATCAATCATCAGCTAAATGTCAAATGGCATCAATCGTCAGCTCAATGACCAATGCTATCAAGCATCAGCTAAATGACAAATGGCATCAATCGTCAGCTCAATGACCAATGGTATCAATCATCAGCTAAATGACCAATGGTATCAATCATTAGCTAAATGAAATGACATCAATCGTCAGCTTAATGACCAATGGTATCAATCATCAGCTAAATGACAAATGGCATCAATCGTCAGCTCAATGACCAATGCTATCAAGCATCAGCTAAATGACAAATGGCATCAATCGTCAGCTCAATGACCAATGGTATCAATCATCAGCTAAATGTCAAATGGCATCAATCGTCAGCTCAATGACCAATGCTATCAAGCATCAGCTAAATGACAAATGGCATCAATCGTCAGCTCAATGACCAATGGTATCAATCATCAGCTAAATGACCAATGGTATCAATCATTAGCTAAATGACCAATGCTATCAAGCATCAGCTTAATAACCAATGGTATCAATCATCAACTAAACGACCAATGGTATCAATCGTCAGCTTAATGACCAATGGTATCAATCATCAGCTAAATGACCAATGGCATCAATCGTCAGCTTGATGACCAATGCTATCAAGCATCAGCTAAATGACCAATGGTATCAATCATCAGCTAAATGACCAATGCTATCAAGCATCAGCTTAATAACCAATGGTATCAATCATCAACTAAACGACCAATGGTATCAATCGTCAGCTTAATGACCAATGGTATCAATCATCAGCTAAATGACAAATGGCATCAATCGTCAGCTCAATGACCAATGGTATCAATCATCAGCTTAATGACCAATGGTATCAATCATCAGCTAAATGACCAATGCTATCAAGCATCAGCTTAATGACCAATGGTATCAATCATCAACTAAACGACCAATGGTATCAAGCATCAGCTTAATAACCAATGGTATCAATCATCAACTAAATGACCAATGCTATCAAGCATCAGCTTAATAACCAATGGTATCAATCATCAGCTTAATGACCAATGCTATCAAGCATCAGCTAAATGACCAATGGTATCAA